AAAGCATGCTACGTTAGCTTATAAGATTTACACCATGAAAGAGTCTTACATGCAACAGAATTATTAGAGTTTCTTAAAGAGTTTACATATACATCAAAATCTTTCCTGAAAATAAAAAAGAAGGGAGTTTTCTTTGAAAATGTACACTTATGAATGTAAAATGTAGCAAGATGTAGCAAGAGATCAATGATACATTTACACTGAGAAAGATCTCAATTCAAGGAGTAACCAAAAAAACACTATTTTTGGGGTTATACAAAAGTTTGGATATAAATATTTTTTAATAAAATTGGAAAAGTCAACCCAGAACACTTTAGAATAAGCACAGTGCCAAAATAAACGATTGATTGTTTCTTCAGACGGAAGGCAAAAGGAGCAATTGGGGGAAATACTATTGTTACATTTAGCAAGTTTGTCATTTACCGCATAACAATTATGGAATTGAAGAAGCCAAAACTCTTCCTATACCAAGTCATGTGTTTTTTATTTTTATTAATGAAAATAGAACAAATAACAAACAGAGCATAGCATAAGACAGTCAGTGCTATACAAAGTGTGATATTAATTAGTAACGGGCACTGAAAATAATGTCATAATATTTTAAACATGTTAATGACTTTCTGTTTTTTAACAATTTCAGAGAAGATATAAAACAATCAAATTCCACTAAAGATACCTTAAATATTGGGGATGAATTTAAACATTTTTGTTTATGTATATAAAATTTTGCCAGCAATATGAATAAATTAACAATGTATTCAAGACCTTTGTTAACATTGTTTTCATAGTACACAATAATATCCTTTAAAGAAAAACTGTATTTATCCTTTACTAGATCAAAAATAAATTCTGCCCATTCCTTCCAAAAATGTTGGGTAGTTTTACAATCAAACAATAAATGTGATAACACCTCTTTCTCATTTTTACAAAAGGAGCATAAATCATCAATATCAGAGTATCTTGAAATTATTGATTTAAGAGGGTATGCAAAGTTTTAAAATGTATTTCTTTAGTTTTGTTATTGATACAATATTTAAAGGGGGTTAACCAAGCAGTCTTCCTATGCAATAGAAGAACAACAAATACAATCACAAAGACAAGTAAGAGCAAAAGACAATAAGGGTTACAAACAATACTCCAAAGCATGCTACGTTAGCTTATAAGATTTACACCATGAAAGAGTCTTACATGCAACAGAATTATTAGAGTTTCTTAAAGAGTTTACATATACATCAAAATCTTTCCTGAAAATAAAAAAGAAGGGAGTTTTCTTTGAAAATGTACACTTATGAATGTAAAATGTAGCAAGATGTAGCAAGAGATCAATGATACATTTACACTGAGAAAGATCTCAATTCAAGGAGTAACCAAAAAAACACTATTTTTGGGGTTATACAAAAGTTTGGATATAAATATTTTTTAATAAAATTGGAAAAGTCAACCCAGAACACTTTAGAATAAGCACAGTGCCAAAATAAACGATTGATTGTTTCTTCAGACGGAAGGCAAAAGGAGCAATTGGGGGAAATACTATTGTTACATTTAGCAAGTTTGTCATTTACCGCATAACAATTATGGAATTGAAGAAGCCAAAACTCTTCCTATACCAAGTCATGTGTTTTTTATTTTTATTAATGAAAATAGAACAAATAACAAACAGAGCATAGCATAAGACAGTCAGTGCTATACAAAGTGTGATATTAATTAGTAACGGGCACTGAAAATAATGTCATAATATTTTAAACATGTTAATGACTTTCTGTTTTTTAACAATTTCAGAGAAGATATAAAACAATCAAATTCCACTAAAAATACCTTAAATATTGGGGATGAATTTAAGCATTTTTGTTTATGTATATAAAATTTTGCCAGTGATATGAATAAATTAACAATGTATTCAAGACCTTTGTTAACATTGTTTTCATAGTACACAATAATATCCTTTAAAGAAAAACTGTATTTATCCTTTACTAGATCAAAAATAAATTCTGCCCATTCCTTCCAAAAATGTTGGGTAGTTTTACAATCAAACAATAAATGTGATAACACCTCTTTCTCATTTTTTACCAAAGGAGCATAAATCATCAATATCAGAGTATCTTGAAATTATTGATTTAAGAGGGTATGCAAAGTTTTAAAATGTATTTCTTTAGTTTTGTTATTGATACAATATTTAAAGGGGGTTAACCAAGCAGTCTTCCGATTAATATGATCAATAATAGAGTTCCAAAAGAATTTTCCTCTAGGTGTTATTTTACTTTGTTTTTGGAAAACAGTGCAAATATGTTTGTTATTGCATTTTTTTATCAATCAGTTCAAGACCGTTTAAAATGAGTTGTGGTTTTGTCGTTATTGTAGAGTTAAAGTACCAAGTCATACGTGTTGTCAAACAAAAGGTGTGGTCTGTGACGTAACGTAGGGGCGTGCGTGCGTGCGTGCGTGCGTGTGCTCTGCTCCAGCTCGCAGCATCTGCGGCGGATCCGGTTACCTCTCCGATCAGCTGGTGATCATCTGGATTGATTCCGTGTGTCCGATCATCCGAACCGAGTCATCATCATCGCTGACTGAAGGCCGATTAAAGCGCGTTGATGACGGGAAGCTGAAGCTGCGTAATCATGGATGTGTTCGGCTTTCTCAACCTAAACGAGCTCGCTCTGGGGCTGTCACACCTCTCCATGTTCCCCTGCTTCGACACGGCGCATTATATCATATCTGTGATGAGTCTGAGAGAGCAGCCGGGTAAGAGAATCCAGTCTTTGATCGTTTCCCAATCATTGTTTTATTCGTGCTTTGACAGGTTGCCAACACTTTTGACGTGAACATCTTTAGTGCAAGTCAGACACATAGATGCAAGGAGCATAAATCATCAATATCAGAGTATCTTGAAATTATTGATTTAAGAGGGTATGCAAAGTTTTAAAATGTATTTCTTTAGTTTTGTTATTGATACAATATTTAAAGGGGGTTAACCAAGCAGTCTTCCGATTAATATGATCAATAATAGAGTTCCAAAAGAATTTTCCTCTAGGTGTTATTTTACTTTGTTTTTGGAAAACAGTGCAAATATGTTTGTTATTGCATTTTTTTATCAATCAGTTCAAGACCGTTTAAAATGAGTTGTGGTTTTGTCATTATTGTAGAGTTAAAGTACCAAGTCATATGTGTTGTCAAACAAAAGGTGTGGTCTGTGACGTAACGTAGGGGCGTGCGTGCGTGCGTGCGTGCGTGCGTGTGCTCTGCTCCAGCTCGCAGCATCTGCGGCGGATCCGGTTACCTCTCCGATCAGCTGGTGATCATCTGGATTGATTCCGTGTGTCCGATCATCCGAACCGAGTCATCATCATCGCTGACTGAAGGCCGATTAAAGCGCGTTGATGACGGGAAGCTGAAGCTGCGTAATCATGGATGTGTTCGGCTTTCTCAACCTAAACGAGCTCGCTCTGGGGCTGTCACACCTCTCCATGTTCCCCTGCTTCGACACGGCGCATTATATCATATCTGTGATGAGTCTGAGAGAGCAGCCGGGTAAGAGAATCCAGTCTTTGATCGTTTCCCAATCATTGTTTTATTCGTGCTTTGACAGGTTGCCAACACTTTTGACGTGAACATCTTTAGTGCAAGTCAGACACATAGATGCAGTCATTTTCTGCATCAGTCATCAAAGTTAATGCATTCAAAATGTTTTATGAATATTCGTCATTCGTCATGCATTTGAGTTTTGGCAGGCGTGTGAACAGTGCAGCGCGCGTGCAGGACAGTGGCTTTATAATAGTTAGATTGCAGTAGGTGCAACATGAGGGTCCTGTCCTCATTAGAACGCATTCATGTTTATGATTTGCTGCAGGACAGTGTGCGTGTTTACATGAGTGTGAAAGCAGAAGTTACTTGAGCAAAGGCCAAAGAGAGGAGAAATGCATTGAATCATTAACTCTCTGTCAATACTCTCTCTCTGTTTTTCTCATAGAAGCATGCAGATGTGTGGTTAAACGTGCATGCAGGGTGGAGGCACAAATCCTGTTTGCCAGGTCGTTTTGCATTAACCAAACAAGCATTGACACACATGCATTTGCATTTACAGTGCTGAGATCAGCCGTACAGACGTGCCCTTTGCTCTTGTACCGTGACCTATCAGAGCAGTAGTGCATGCATGCTCTCTATTGTATTAGCTTCAGTATATCGCAGGCTATTTCAGAGCCTCTTGTCAATGTTTAGAAGTCCTCTAGCATATGGATGTAAGACACTACAGGCAAAAACATTTTGTGCATTGATCAATTTTGAGATTTTTGGCTGTTTGGCTCTTCGTAAGGGTTTTTTTTTTCTTCTTTTCTCAGAATTGAGGAAAGAAAACATCCAAAAGACACATTTAAGTGTTGCACTTTTTCCTATTTGCGTCTGTAAATTTAAATTACAATACATATCTTTAAAAGTTTTTTTCCACTTCAGCAGCACTTAGATGCACCAAAACGTAGTTTTATTGCTGTCTATATTCTGCAAGATTTTACCGAGGGATTTGTTTGTACATCATTTGCGTGTTTTGTTTTTTCTCTACAACACTTTATTCCTAAAACATGGTGGAAATGTGTTTTTTGATAGTATTTTCTGATTTATGGAGTGATAAATAGAGAAATCCAATCCTTTCTGAACCTGGCTTTATTATAGTTTTCAGATTTCTGTTCTGGAACTTTATGCAAATTAGTGCATATTTAATTAGATATGTATGCATAACATAATGGAAAACTTGCAATAAAAAAAAAGTTTGCAACTCTGTTTGAAGTATGGTTATATCTATTAGTTTGTTTTACCCTGTTCATCTCTTGCCTTAAAGATAACAGTCATGAACTAAAGCCGCAAAACTTTTTATTTCAGTATTTTTAAACTCATCCAGATGGACCCCTCGCATCTTTTGTTGTGTGTAAACCTGCATGAGTAACCAAATGTGTTCATTGCATTTCATGAAAGGATTGATGTAACGGCAGACCAGTTCTCTGGCGCACTTCATTGTGTTCCGGTTTCCTAAGCAACTTTTATTCCACGATGAATGTGTTTAGCTTCCTAATAAAGCCTTCCTTCCTGTTTCCTGTTCTCCGCTCGGGGAGTTTTTCCCCGGAGCGCCGCGTGTCACTTCCTGTCTTCAGACTCATGCATGTTTAACGGGAACAGTGGTCTTCAGCTCACAGAACGCTCTTCTTCTCTCGTGCAGAAGCAAGAACGACTCTTCTGTTTTCTTTATACTCTTACAACAATGTTCTGTGGCAGTACTACGGTGCAGAAATGACCAAAAACATTTGAATATACTCTTTAAGAGTCACTTCAGTGATATTTATCTCTAGTTCAGTGAGTGTTTAGAGCAGTTTCGAAGGTCTTGAGTAAGAATATGCATTATTTTATCAATTATATATAGTAACTAATAATGCGATTTTTTTGTGATTTTGCCACTATTTTCATCCATGTCCATGCAAGTTTTGGGATGCCGTCTGTAGTAACACTCTGCTTGTGATGATGTTGCAGGCGTCTCTCTCTCTGTCTCTGTCTGCAGGTAGACAGGTACGTTTCTACAGCATGACTTTATCACACACACACACACACACACACACATCTCATCTCGTGTTGTTCTGCCTCACTGTGGTTTATCTGTAGATAAACGTCCATCGGTCGCAGGAGCCTTGCAACACACTGAGAGCATGACGAGTGTCTGCAAGCCTGTGTGTATGTGTGTGTGTGTGTGAGTGAGTGACTGTGTGTTTGTGTGTGTGTGTGTGTGTGTGTGAGAGAGTGTGTGTGTGTGTGAGAGAGTGACTGTGTGTGTGTGTGTGTGTGAGTGAGTGACTGTGTGTGTGTGTGAGAGTGACTGTGTGTGTGTGAGAGGTGTGAGTGTCTGTGTGAGTGAGTGTCTGTGTGTGTGTGTGTGTGTGTGTGTGTGTGTGTGTGTTTTGTTGCATTAACTCATATCTGTGATGGCTCCGCTCTGCTTCAGTCTGGTTTCTCGATGTTCGTTCGGTGCTTTAGTGGCTGCATGCGGTTGCATCATGTGATCAGAGTGAATCCGACTGTCCCATGAACTCCGTGTTGATCGAGTGTGTCGTCATCCAGGATGCGGTTGCATCACATGACCTGATTAAATCCGTGAAGGGCCTCACATTTATCTGTGTTTGAGTGTTCAGCAGACGTCGCAGGTGTCAGAGATCAGAGTTACTGCAGATATCAGGCTTCTAGATATCAAGCAGTCGACTTCAAAACAGTCTTGAGCTTTTGTTAGTTTCATGATTATATTATATGACAAACTATTTCATCGTCCCGCTCTGATCTGCTAAATTGGACGAGATATCAGGGTTCTTAACAATAGCGTGTATTTACCCCCGGAACGCAATTGGGCTAGTTTTTAAATAACATAAAATACTGGACATTTAATATGTTACAAATATTTGCATATTCATGAATGTTAGAAATTAAATATTTATATCCGAGTAAAAAGCAGTGTCACAGTAAGTGGAACACTGTTGTGCGATTAATTGAAATAAAACTTGAATCAGAAAATCCCTTTCTGTCAAAAATAAAAGTTTGATGGTTTAGTATTTAAAAAAGAAGAAATTAAGACAGCTATAAATATTAATATTGTAATTTTACAGTTGTAATGTAGAATTAAATAGTTATTATTATTATTATTGTATTTTTTAAATACTTGGGTTTTTTATTTTACAGAAAAATATTACAATGGTAATAATTTTTTTTTAGTTTTTATTTTTATATATGTTTTATTTTTATTAAGTAATTATTATTATTATTGTTATTATTTTATTGATATGAACCCTAATCACAAAATTTTGGCCCTCCAAAAACAAGGATTTATTTATTAGATTTTTTTAATCACAATCGCAATTTAAAAACCACTATTGGATTTTTCCTCCCCAAATCAGCGCGCTCTAGATCATCCACCCACTCACACACACACACACACACACACACACTCACTCACACACACACACACTCACTCACACACACACACACACACTTATACACGCACACACACACACACTTATACACGCGCACTTACACGCACACACACACTTATACACGCGCACACACTAACACGCACACAATAAATCCTTGTTTTTGGAGGGCCAAAATTTTGTGATTAGGGTTCATATCAATAAAATAATAACAATAATAATAATAATTACTTAATAAAAATAAAACATATATAAAAATAAAAACTAAAAAAAAATTATTACCATTGTAATATTTTTCTGTAAAATAAAAAACCCAAGTATTTAAAAAATACAATAATAATAATAATATGTTTTGCAGGAGCGCTGGAGGTTTCTCAGCGCAGTCCGTTCGCCTGTTGGTTCAGTTCGATGCTGTATTGTTTCGGTGGAGCTGTTCTCTCAGCGCTGATGATGGCAGACGCCCCGATCGCTCCACTGTCCAACACCACCAACCTGCTGCTCGCCTCGCTCATGTGGTGAGACACACACACACTCACACACACACTCACATACACACTCACACACACACACACACACAAAACTACAAGAAATTCAGAAATCAACATATATAAAAATAAAAAACACACACACACTCACACACACACTCACTCACTCACTCACACACACGCACTTACACGCACACACACACTTATACACGCGCACACACTAATACGCACACACACGCGCACTCACACGCACACACACACACTTATACACGCGCACACACTAACACGCACACACACACACTTATACACGCGCACTCACACGCACACACACACTTATAAACGCGCACACACTAAGACGCACACACACACTTATACACGTGCACTCACACGCACACACACACACTTATACACTCACACGCACACACACACACACTTATACACGCACACTCACGCGCTCACACGCACACACACACACTTATACACGCACACACACACACACACACACACACACATACACACACACACACACACACACACTCCCACGCACACACACGCACACACACTCACACACACACACACTTATACACGCACACACACACACACACACACACTTATACACGCGCACGCACACACGCACGCACACGCACACACACATTTATACACGCGCACACACGTATACACACACACACTCACACGCACACACACACACACTTATACACGCACACACTTATATACGCACACACTTATATACGCACACACACACACACATTTATATACACACACACGCACACACACACACTCACACACACACTCAAACTCACAGACAGTTATAAAACTAACCACTACAAACATGATAACTGCAAACAATTATTATTATTTAATGTCAGCTACTCATATAACTACATATAAACACTTATTTAGTACAGCAAAATGAATGTACTTAAAAAGTGAAAAAATAAATAAACGTAAAACTGAACCGAACACCTGTGTTTCTCTGAGATGCACGATGCTTCTGCTGTGGATTTATTTATTCGTTGATGATAAAGAGCAAAAACAGACACATATAAAATGCAAGTCACTTAATATTAACTTGTTTCTGAACAGTATGCAGTCAATATCACAACATGTTACGGCTGGCTCGTAAGCCGCAAACCACAAAACCTCAAACAATAAACCAACTTATTAACAAAATAAGGAATTATTAAACAGTCAAAATAAATAGACATCTAGGAGAGAAAAAAAACCACCCGTGGGTATGAATGTATAAAAACAAGGGAAAGAAACGCCCGAGAGAGAGCGACTCAAAGACATAGCAGTCTTTTATCCGCTCCCACGCTCTCAGAGGATTGAATTATTATTCAATTCACTTCATGAATAGTCAAATGTCTTCTTTCTTTTGATTTCAGGTTGAAATATGCAAGTTCGTCACATTATCTTCCATGAATCTTGCAATAAGCAAAACATTCCAACTTAACAGAAATGAGAATATAGAGGGAAAATGTTTTATTGTCATTGAAATAATACAATGAGTTATTTTTATTTGTATTGAGCTGTTTTTAATGCGGTTGTTTGCCTCTGCGGGCTGAGAATCTGTCGGCCGGGTGTGAGTGTGACTGAAATCTCTCACGCTCGTGTTGAATGTTGCTCGCTGTCAGGATACGAGAGCTCAACTAGTCCTCTGAACTAAACTAAACCACACTGACAGATCTCAGAATCACCCTTGAACACAGACTGAGGACTTGCTGTGTGTTTATGATGTGACAGCGCCATCTAAAGGCCAGAACTTATTATGCACATGCATGAAATGTCACAAAGTAACAGACTGCTGGCTTCAACAATCATAAAATCAGATGATGAGATTCATACCATAGTATTGAATGCTTTAGTCGTATACATGGTGCTTTTTTTAATGGAAATATGTTGAGTGAGTGGAGTGGCGTTCGTTATAATAGGCAATATTTAACATGCTGTTTTCTGCAGGTGAAACAAAGAAACCCACCGCCACTGAAAACTTGAAAAGACTGAAAAGCTTTTCTGTGAATTTTAAATACAGGACTGGAAAGTCATGAATAAATCACAGTTCACTCAGGGCAATCAAATGTTCATTAAAACTGGATATAATAGAAGATTTTCATTTATTATAAAGAAATTCAGCAGCACTGTGAAGGAAAAGGTCTTTCGGTGAAATGCATTTGAAAGTTGTTGTTTTGTTGGTTTTTCAGCGTGTCTCTGACATTTCAGAAAGAAATCATCATTCACACGATGAGCGCTTACCATAATTAATAGCCAACAGCACAAATTATGCTAATGGTGATTTAAACTAGCACTTTCTGCTGCTTTGAGGGACAGAGATGGGCAATTAAGCAGTGGACCGACACATGAGTGTGAGTGTGTATGATTGTGTGTGTATGTGTGTGTGTGTGTGTGTTTGTGTGCATGCGTGTGTGTGTGTATGTGTGCTTGAGTGTGCGTGCGTGAGTGTCAGAGTGTGTGTGTGTGTGTGTATGATTGTGTGTGTATGTGCGTGTGCGTGTGTGTGTTTGTGTGCGTGCGTGTGTGTGTTTGTGTGCGTGCGTGTGTTTGTGTGCGTGCGTGTGTGTATGTGTGCTTGAGTGGGCGTGCGTGAGTGTCAGAGTGTGTGTGCGTGTGTGCGTGTGTGCATGAGTGTGTGTGTGTGTGTGTGTGTGTGTGTGTGTGAGTGCATGCGTGCGTGCGTGAGTGTGTGTGTGTGTGTGTGTGTGTGTGTGTGTATGTGTGTGTACAGAGTACCCTGTTTGTGTGTGTATTTGTGTGCGTGTCTCATTGATCCTATAATAACACTGATTGTGACATTATTTACATGACAAACACATTTAGCCCATATTCCTCATTTGCAGTGATGTATGAACTGGAAGTTTTTTGTGTGATTATTCTAAACTCATATGTATTGTGTGTGTGTGTGTGTGTTTCTGCAGGTATCTGGTGTTTTATTGTCCTCTGGATGCCGTGTACTCGCTGGCGTCCGTGTTGCCCGTGCGTCTGGTCTTGACGGCGATGAAGGAAGTGACCCGTACCTGGAAGGTTCTGGGCGGAGTCACACAAGCAGGAAGGAAGTACAAAGACGGTCTGTTTGTGATGATCGCGGTGGGCTGGGCTAAAGGTACACTGACGCTAATTACACTCATCCATCCACGTTGGCTGTTTCCATTCAGATATCGAGCGGGATGTGACAGTATTCTTGGCTTGACATTTTAATGTTTAAAAGCTCAAGGTTATTTTTCAGAATTTAATCACACTCATTATTAAAACCCATGATGCATTTCACCCCGCTGTCCTTCAATTACACAGAGAAAAGGTTTGAAATATCAAGAGGTCGAGGTGACTGTAATTACGAGCGGAGCCAAAGCACATCAGCGAGCGACTCGTGCATCATGCAGAAAGAGTTATTATCGCTAGCGGATGCTGTCTCTGATCTCCAGACGTGGTTGTGTGTCTGCAGGAGCCGGTGGAGGACTCTTGAGCAACTTTGAGCAGCTGGTTCGAGGCGTCTGGAAACCAGAAACCAACGAACTCCTGAAGATGTCATAGTAAGAGTCTTAAATCATGTGCATCCTTCCTCAACAAGCTCCTGAAGGTCCGGAATTATGACACGAGATGATTTCTAAAGTCATGAAACACATCCAGATCATATTTCACCTCATAAAGAAAGAACAAAGATTCAAATTAAGCTCTGCATAAACCAAGTGAAGCCTGTTTGTAGGACCGTTAATATTTATAGCATTGTGACCAGGGTTATTATCATTAACTGAAAAACTAGAACTGTGAAGAAATGTTGTTACTTGTTACATTACCTGAAATAAGATAAACACTAACTGAAATAAACGTGTAAAATTAAGAAATTTAAACATATTTTATTTCAGTTAGTTTGCAAGGAAACATTTCTAGTTTTCGTTTAGTTTAACTAAAACTGAAATGAAAATTAATGAAAACTACGCGGACATATATAAAAAAACAGGAGCTAATAAAAATGACAAAAGCGCAACAAAATTACTGAAACTTTAACTAAACTTTTGTCTCCGCAACATTTCTTATTTCTAGTTTCAGTTGACTAAAATAACTGAAATAAAAAAATAGAAATGATTTTTTATTTTTTTTAAAAATAAAACAAATGCAAAGGGAAGCCTGAAGTTGAATTTCTGCCTTGATTTATTTTTATTATATCATTCTTTTTTTATTTAATTTTTTCTAGTGCCGTCAAACGATTAATCGCGATTAATATATGTGTGTGTACTGTGTATATTTATGATGTATATACTGTATAAATACACACACATGCATATATATTTTTAATACATTTTTTTTGTTTTTATAAAAATATTATTATTTATATATAAAATAAATTATATATGAATATCTCTCTCTCTCTATATATATATATACATGTAACTATATACATGCATGTGTGTGTATTTATATATAGATCACATACAGTATATTATGTAAACAAACTTTTGTTTTGGATGTGATTAATCACGATTAATCGTTTAACAGCACTATTGTTTACCTTTTTTTCAGTTTTAGTTTCACGTAATTAAACTCGCAAAATTGACAACATTTTAAAGTTGTAGAAATGTTGTCGTGCTTTTTAATCTAGAATGAAAATGAATCCCTCAGACAGCAGCGCTCGTTCGCTTATGAATGTCTGAGCAACTCTGCAGGATCTACTTTCGCTTTTCTTCAGCAGATATTTTGAGTGATTTCAGAATCTAAATGCCTTTTAGTTATTCACTGTGTAAATGAACTCATAAATCAGATGGAAGCATCGTGCACGAGAGGGTTTTTGGTGTTTGTCTGCAGAAGCGGAGTCTCTTTCTCTCAGAATAATAGTGTTTGCTCCCAGAATGCCGCAGGTAGAATAATTGGCTTCTGTATTGATTTCCTCTCGTCTTGGAGACACTTGTTGTCATGGTTATTGTTTGAGTGGCATTTGAGAGGGTTCTCGTGGAGGAACGCAGGAGTCAGTCGCCATGGAGACGAGCCTCTGATTGACAGCCGTATCTCATGTACAGTAGAACAGAGCCATTTCACTGTATTTATGCGCAGAACTGTTCATCTGACGGGAAAATAAAACACTAATCGTTTGTGCAGATCGATGAAAAGTGCTATAAAAGTTCATTTGACTTAATCTTATTTTGATCAGAAAATCAACTTGCAGAATCAGTTAAGGTACGAATTTTGTATTCATTAAAATTATGCATTAAATATATGATTAATAAAGTAACAGTGCTGTTCTCACATGAGCTTGTTGCTTATGGCTTTTATAAAATGCTGACAACCATAATATGATTGATTAATTAATTGATTTATGTTCAATAAACACTGAAACACTGAAAGTGTCATTTTTTATTTTATTTAAAAATATATATATTTTTTTATTATTGTAAAAAAATACTAAATATATTTTGTTTATTACTGTTTATTATTTTATGCTATTTTGGTTGTTTAAATCTTTATTATTTTTTAATTTAATTACTGTTGAAAAAAGTGACTGATAAAATCAAGTATGAATGATAAAGCAATTATTGTGAGAATTTAAACGGATGCAAACAAATGTGTTGTAATGATGAAAAGACTTCTGCAGTGAATAGCAATTTATTATTAATAATAATCATAATACACATTTTTTTCACTAATATGAGTAATATTAGACGGTTGGTTTGTTGAGTGATGTTAAACTTAAAGGAACGAGGCGTTTTAGGGGGGCGTGGCTGACTCTGAACTTTTATAAAGAATATCTCTTTGGATTTGAGACTTTAGTCTTTGCAACTTTACAGATCTTCTTTATGCACCAAGAGCTTGTAACACTCCAAAGAGAAAGGAACAATTGAAATCGCATCATATGACCCCTTTAATATACTATCATAGTTTTTATTATATTGAGTTAGTTTTTTTTTATATTTTCCATTTTCATTTTAATTTGTTATTTTTAGTATTTTTTCTTTCTTGTTTGTGTCATTTAAAATACAAAATTAAAATATAAATGTTAAATATATGTTGTTGTTCTTTTTAGTTGGAGTTATTTTAACTTGGAGTAAGTTAAACTAAATTAAAATTAGAAATGTTGAATTGGCAACTAAAATAAGATCAGTTAAATTTTTTTAATGTACTTTATTAATTTTAATAAATGGCAAAACAGGCCTAATAAATATTATATTTTGAATTAGTTTTTATATTTTCCTTTTTCATTTTAATCTTAATTTTAGTTGTTTTTGTCATTTTATTATTTTAATTATTTTAGTAATTCAACTTAAACTAAACAAAAATTTGAAATATTGCCTTGGTGACTAACTGAAATCATTTGTAAACATTTTATTTAATTTAACGTTTATTTTAAGTAACGAAAATATTTAGGGTTTTAGTTTTAATTAATGATAATAACCTTGTTTTAGAGTAGTTTGTTTTTCCTCACTGAAAGTAAAATGATATATTAAGCGTAAACGACAACAACTAAAAAAAAAAAAACCTCTACACCAGTATTTTTTTTTTAATGTTCAAATGGCAGAGCAGCTCTAACAAACGTGTGTGTTTGTGTGTCTGTGTGCGTGTGCATCTGTGTGCGTGTGTGTGTCTGTGTGTGCATCTGTGCCTGTGTGTGTGCATGTGTGTCTGTGTGCATGTGCGTCTGTGTCTGTGCCTGTCTGTGTGCGTGTGTGTCTGTGTCTGTGCCTGTCTGTGTGCATGTGCGTCTGTGTCTGTGCCTGTGCGCCTGTCTGTGTGCGTGTGCGTCTGTGCCTGTGCCTGTCTGTGTGCGTGTGTGTCTGTGTCTGTGCCTGTGTGTGCATGTGTGTCTGTGTGTGTGTGCATCTGTGTCTGTGTGTGTGTGCATCTGTCATCTGTGCCTGTGTGTGTGCATGTGTGTGTCTGTGTGCATGTGCGTCTGTGTCTGTGCCTGTGCGCCTGTCTGTGTGCGTGTGCGTCTGTGCCTGTGCCTGTCTGTGTGTGTGTGCATCTGTGTCTGTGTGTGTGTGCATCTGTGTCTGTGCCTGTGTGCCTGTGTGTGTGTGTGTCTGTGCCTGTGTGCCTGTGTGTGTGTGTGTCTGTGCCTGTGTGCCTGTGTGTGTGTGTGTCTGTGCCTGTGTGCCTGTGTGTGTGTGTGTCTGTGCCTGTGTGCCTGTGTGTGTGTGTGTCTGTGCCTGTGTGCCTGTGTGTGTGTGTGTCTGTGCCTGTGTGCCTGTGTGTGTGTGTGTCTGTGCCTGTGTGCCTGTGTGTGTGTGTGTCTGTGCCTGTGTGCCTGTGTGTGTGTGTGTCTGTGCCTGTGTGCCTGTGTGTGTGTGTGTCTGTGCCTGTGTGCCTTTGTGTGTGTGTGTCTGTCTGTGTGCGTGTCTGTGTGCGTGTGCATGTGCGTCTGTGTCTGTGTCTGTGTGCAGCCCGACCAAGGTGACGCTGCTGGGATCCGTTGTGTTCTCTCTCCATCAGTGCCGCCTTCTCCCAATTCAGACGCATCAGCTGATCTTCATCTACACGCTCTTCATCGTCACCAACAAGGTCTGTGTGTTTGTCTTTCTGCAGCATTCAGACTGAAACCAAACACTCCTTCTCTGGGTTTATATGGAGATACATGAATATCTAGATCTATATTTGTCAAAATAGTACAAATAATAATGCATTTATTTATTTAGCATTTTTATAGTTGTTTTGCTTTAATTCTTAAAGTAAAAACAAAATACATTTAAACAGACATAAAGAGCAGTAATAAAATACAAAATAAAACATGCAAAATAGTCCATAAAACCTAAAATATAAATAAAATGGATTAATATTATATTAATAAATATTAGAAAATTATATCATATATTTTTATTGTATATTGTATTTATATACACACACTGTAATATATCTACTGTATATATACACTACCGTTCAGAAGTTTGGGATCAGTGAGACTTGTAATGTTGTGAGTGAGAGAGTGTGTGTGAGTGAGTGAGAGAGTGTGTGTGTGTGAGTGAGTGAGTGAGTGAGAGTGTGTGTGTGTGAGTGAGTGAGTGAGAGAGTGTGTGTGTGTGAGTGAGTGAGTGAGTGCAGTGATATTGAATGCCATTTACAGCTCACGCTCTGTGTTCATTTAATGATAAATGAATATTAGCTGGGATTTCACAATTAAAAACAAGGCAAAGAGAGCATTTGATTGATCGGCGGGTCGTGGTTTAATTGGACAGACGTCTGTTCGCGTTCGTTTGTCTGAATTTAACGAACAACCTGCTAAAGCTCATCAAAGTGAGTCTCTTTCGCCCTTCAGTATGAGCCGCGCCGCTTTACACTCTTTCACGGTTCTCTTGCTTTTTGCATCATTTTCATGTAATTGCATCATTCTGCTTTAAAAAGAGTGAAGTTCTTGAGCGAGACTGACGGTAAATCTTGAGTTCTTCAGTCAGATCTCTCCGTTCTCTCACGCTCTCAGCCTTTGACCTTGCCGGCGTCACGCGTCGTCTCAAGACAAGCGTTCCTCTTCGTTAGCTTTCGGTTTCACTTATTAGTACTGCTGAGGATTTGAGCTTGGTGTTCATCTTTGGCTCTTAAGTCTTAATTTACCCTTCCACAAATTAAAAGATCTCAACTATTACATTCATAAAGTCATCGCATTAAATGTTGCATGCACTGCAAAAACAAAGAATAGCTTCCTCAGTATTTATATCTTGTTTTTTAGTACAAACATCTTTAAAACTAGATATATTTACTTGAGAATGAAAATGAAGATATGAAGTCTTGTTTCCTGAGAAACTGAACAAAATGAAGTCAGTTTATGCTTAAAACAAGAACAAGTCAGTGGGGAATGAAAACTTGTTTCTCTTTGAATTAAGTTGATTTTTCTGAGCCCATTGGCATATTTTTGTCCTTTTTAAAATTATAAATCCATTTATCACAGACTTCTTATGTAATTATTGCATCTTGATTTAAGAAGTTTTAGACATTTGCACTGAAAAACAAGACGAAAAACATCATTTTTGTGCACTCTGTTCAGAATATGCAGTAAAAGTTATTTCCATATTCTACTTAAGCTTTTTTGTGCATAAAATTAATTAATAAGTAATGGAGTGCTGGTGGAAGTTATATTTTCAATTTTGCTTTCTAGACATTTGTGTTTCAATGTATTGTGTTCCCTTGAATTTAGTCCTCAGATTTATTCATTCCTTTAATTGGTTTAAAAAGAGAAGTCTCACGTTTGTTTCAGACGCGGATGATGTTGTTGGGCTCGTCATCGTATCCGTTTTCAGCGGTGGAGACTCTGCTCTACAAGACTCTGTTTGTTCGGCCTTTGACCTTTTCACCTCTGACCGACCCGAGCCAGAGCTGCCGCGCTGCCCCGAACCACAACAAACCCAACGCACAAGACCAGAAACCCAGCGACACCAATGAACCGGACCAAACCAGCCCCAAAGATGCAGAAACCACCAAAAAGACCGACTGAGTCCTGATGGAGAACTGTAGCGTTTCCGGCTGATGATGTTTTTAAATCTGAATATCTTGATATCTATATATTTGCTATTCTGAGCTGATTCACAGAAGATTCTGTTCTTTTCTATCCTGTGATGGTGAGGATAATATATTTTAATATTATTTATAATGCATTTGTGAATGCAATCACTGAAAGTAGAATCCCGAAACCTGTTTTACTGTAAGATGTTTTGATGCTGAAATGATTTAATATAATTCACTCGCTCTGACTCGTCTGTCTTCAGTTTGTTATCCGTGCAAAAAACAGATGTGGATGAGTTTGTTTCTTCATCAGATTCTGAGAAATGTAGCATTGCATCAGTGTCTCAGCAAGTGAATGGGTGCCGTCAGAATGAGAGTCCAAACAGCTGATAAAAACATCACAATAATCCAGTTCCTTTAAGCTCCGTGTACACTGTGACCGACTATCAAAATATAACTTTGTCTGGTTCCTCTACACAATATTCTGTATTTTCTGGAAAACCAAACAGAACTGGAAAAATAATGGCTGTTTTCAATTCTTTAATCAGACAAACAGATATAGTCCCGCCCTAAACTCATACCATTGGTTGAGCCAATATCAATCAAACTCATTATAATTCAGCTTGGTCGCAAACTCGGTTTTCCGCAGAATTTGTCTACTTTTTAACCAGTGTTGCCAAGTCCTCTTTTTTAACACAGGGTTGTTTTTCATGTCCGCGGGTTTAAGTGACCCCCATAACATGATATTTAGCCCCTAGGATGCAAATTTTACCAGGGGAACCCCGCTAAAAATGTGTATTAAAAAAAAAAAAAAAGTCAGAATTGCGAGAAAAAAAGTCAGAACTCCTAAAAAAAAAAAAAAAAAAAAACAAAATTGGGGGAATTCTGGATTTTTCATCTTGCAATTCTGGGTTTATATTTTGCAAATCTGATTAGATTAGGCCCAATAGTACAGGCCTCCAGAGTTGATTGCATTAAGAATTGCAAAAAAAAATTGCATGCATTTCCAGAACATAAATTCTCTATAATTTTGTTGTCATATTAGAGTTTAGTAAGGTTTTTCCAGAGAGGATTTTGGATTTCTCTTTATCATTCCATAAATCAGAAAGAAGAAAAGAAACAACACCGTGTTTTTAGGAATAAAAATATCATAATCAGTGTGATTGATATATGAACAAACACTTTGGTAAAACCTTCAGAATATAGATAGGAATAAAACCTTTAAAGATATGGATTGGAATTTAAATATGCAATCTAAATCAATGAAATAAACACTTAAATGTGTATTTTGAATTTTTTTTCCTACTAGTCTGAAACGAAATCTCAAAACTGACCAGTGCATTAAAACATGTTCTTAAAAATGAGTCTGCAGTATATTGTGCAGTTGTGTTAGTGACGTCAAACACACTCGTTCTCTTTGTGATGCCATCGCATTGGCTGTGTGTTTCAGTGAAGTGTGTGTGTGTGTGTGTGTGTGTGTGTTCTGAAAGTCAAGCTGCAGCATCATGTGACGTCCACTAGGGGTCCCGCTGTGTGAGGGGCCACCTCGCTCTCAGAGGAGCGGCAGTGGATTGGTGACACCGAGTGGTACGTCCCAAACAAAGGGAGCTCACACACACACACACACAC